ACAAAAGAAAAGAAGTGGTTTCTTACATTACAAAATAGTAAGTGGACCCTGAGGGTGTACACCTGGTTATTATGTTACTTATCTTATCCACGTGCATACGAGCATCTTTTTAATAAAGCAAGCTAGCAAAAAACCACAGAGAAAATAAATATTTTTATGTTTCTAGGAAATATAAATGTCTAAAATATTTTTGACTATTTTTCTATGCTAAAATATGTTCAGAATACACACACTGACATAGTCATCTAGAATATATCAACCTGATAACCCGAGCGAAGCCGGGTACTTTCGCTAGTTGAATAAGTCTTAATTATTTTTGATTCTTCATTTTTTCTCATTCATATTACATGTATAGCAATTACAGTAGCGTAATATGACAATCCTGATGCTTTTTTATAATCAACTTCTAACTCTTTAAAAGATCGAGAACTTCTTTAGCTATAACAGAAGTTTATTTTACTTCTCAACATATACCATATGAGATCAACACAACTCTTCAACTGGTGATCTTAGGAGAGGCTTGAATAAACTATATTAACGGTTTTCAAAGGGTCTTGAATCAACTACTTGAATGGAGGAGTTTGACTAAATTTTATGAATAGTTTTAAGAGGGGTTTCAATCAATTATTTGAACGGTCTTAGGAGGAGTTTGAATACATTTTAATGAATGGTTTTAAGTGGTTTAAACCAACTTTTTGATTGGCTTTAAGAGTGATTTGAATGGTTTTAAGCGGGGACTTGAATCAACTAATTATTTGAATGGTTTTAAGAGGGTTATCCGGGTTTTGCTGACTTCACTGCTAGGTTGGCTGAACGTGTTATCAGTTAGGTGGCTGTAGAAGGATTCTTTATCTCGTATGTGGTTCATATTCCATTAATGTAATATTTTTTCCACTTAACTATATGGGTTTATCCTCCGACATGATGAGCTGTTGCAGATAGATCGTTAATGCATAGCCTTGGTATGTCTATTTGCTCCTGAATTTTGCCCTTTCTTTCTCCAGTGTATTAGAATCCACATTCACAAGGGACTTTATAAGCGGTGTTTTGTTTAAATCGGGTCTTTAGGTGGTTTGGTGTGTATTAAATGGTATATTATTGTGTTGTTGATTCTGATTACTGTTGTGACTTTGTACTGTTTCAGTAACCTCTGTGTATTTTCAGAGAGACTTTTGCCATAGAGTAATATGTAGTTAAGCACAAAGCTACACAAAGAGCTATCTGTGCTCTGCCCACCACGGGTATCGAAACCCGGTTTCTAGCGTTGTAAGTCCGTAGACATGCCGCTGTGCCACTGGAGGGGGTGGGGCAAAGTTGCCGATATTTACCAGAACAAATTTCCACCAACCAAAGAGTGCAGTTTAAAAGGGTGACAAAAAGCGAAAATGATCTAGTATTTCACTTCAGATATTTTGTATTAGTGTTTTCTTTTTAAATTTTACTTGATATATGTTTTAACAAGTATGACAATTGAAATGTAGATTTTTTATGACATTCATTACGTCCAAGATACACATGGTATTTTTGAATAATATAGTATATTTTTAATTGTTGGAACTAAATGAAGCAAAGAGAAAAGTATAATCGCTTGCTTCGTTTCATTAGCAATTCTTGTAAATGACTCTGTTAATCTTATAAAATGTGATTTGAATATAAAGATTAATAATTATTTGAATACATACACGTATAATAAAGTGCAGTGAATGCTTTTATAATTTTATAATGATCTTAGAGCTACTGAAAAATAAGTTTGTGATCTTAATTTTGGAAAGATTAATGACTAACTTTATACTTAAAAACGCGTCAACTCACCAGTCGGCTAAAATCTTTTTTGCTCTTGTAATCTTACGTATAGAATTATATAACTTCTTTGGACTTCTCAAAATCTCTTGGCCCGACATGGCGTTATAACGTGACGGTCAATACCACTATTCGTTGGTAAAAGAGTAGCCCAAGAGTTGGCGGTGGGTGGTATTGACTAGCTACCTTCCCTCTAGTCTTACACTGCTAAATTAGGGACGGCTAGCGCAGTTAGCCCTCATGTAGCTTTGCGCGAAATTCAAAAATAAACAAACAAACAAAATCTCTTTGGGGAAATAAGTGTCGTAAGATAATTACCAAAGTTGTTGCTGTAGAACTAATACGATCTAGAATGTTTGATAGAGATACTATTGAAACCTCCTGCACAGTGCAATGTTGGATGTTTCGTGATTTTCTTACACTGATCTTTAACTGCGAACTGTTTCTTTCTAACAGGTGAGCTTGCCTTCTTGTTCTTTGGAATTTATTTAACTTACCGCATCAGGAATGCTAAAGCAGACTGGTTTAGAGAGAAAATGGTTTTGTTTGCCGCTATTTATATTGAAGTGATCGTATCGTTCGTTATATACGCAATTAGGTAAGTAAGAAGATTTTGTTTAAATGTGAAAAACACCGAGAAAAGTTTGTTAGAATGTGTATATACCAAGATGATTTGGTTAAAATGTGTGAAATGCCAAAAGGATTTTGATAAAATGTGTGAAATACCAAGAATATTTTGTTAATATGTGTGAAATGCCAAGAGGATTTTGTTAATATGTGTGAAATACCAAGAACGTCTGTTAAATTGTGTGAAATGTCAAGAGGATCTTGTTAATATGTGTGAAATACCAAGAACGTTTGTTAAATTGTGTGAAATGCCAAGAGGATTTTGTTAATATGTGTGAAACACCAAGAACGTTTGTTAAATTGTGTGAAATGCCAAGAGGATTTTGTTAAAGTGTGTAAAATACCGAGAATATTTTGTTAAAATGCATAAGATACTAAGAGTATTTTGTTAAAGTGTGTCAAATACCAAGGAGATTTTGTTAAAATGTGTAAAATACCAAGAGGATTTTGTTAAAGTGTGTAAAATACCGAGAATATTTTGTTAAAATGCATAAGATACTAAGAGTATTTTGTTAAAGTGTGTCAAATACCAAGGAGATTTTGTTCAAATGTGTGAAACACCAAGAGGATTTTGTCAAAATGTGTCAAATACCAAAAGGATGTTGTTAAACTGTGTGAAAGGACCTTGAGTTTTAAGATCCAGATAAGCCTGTGAGACTTCTGCAGGAGTACGTAGTATTTAACTACCGCTTACATTAGAATTCAATATCTAAAATGTTTGTTTTGTTTTGTTTGAAGTTAAGCACAAAGCTACACAATGGGCTATCTGTGCTCTGCCCACCACGGGTATCGAAACCCGGTTTCTAGCGTTGTAAGTCCACAGACATACCGCTGTGCCACTGGGGGGCATCTAAAATGTACACAATAGAAACGACGAACAGGAAAATAAAATAAATCCTAATAAAGAATGAGGTCATGGGACATAGATCTCAGACAGAATTGAAAACATGACGATTACGTGTACGTGTTTACTTAATACGATCACTAAGTATAGAATATTCTAAAAATATAATATTCGGCAATTCGCAAGATGTTCTTAGTTTTTAAGGTTTGTAATCAAATGAACTTTTTAATCAAGTGTGTTCATTGAAATAAATAAATAGATAAAGTCAACTGACTGTAAAGTTTTAGCTACAGGCAGCACAGACTTGGAACTTCTCATTAAAGAGTTTACTTATTAAACAAAATCTCCCTAACTTGAGCTCAACTTTTGTTGAGTTAAGATTGTTTTAATCTTTTCTCATTAACTGTATAAATACTTTTACATTTCCATTACAAATCTTTATCTATAAACATTTATTTAACGTTCTCCACCCTAAACTCTTATACTGCTATAATAAATAGATGGGATCTGAACATCACTCTTATAACGCATCCATGGTCCCGAAATGCGGAAAGCGATTTTGCAGCAACGGAAGGCGTATTCTGGACCTTCGCGCGCTAACCACGTGGCCACGCTTGGCCCAAGTTGGTGTTTTGAGAACGTGAAACATTCAGTATTCTGATATTGAACAATACAGCCGCAGAAGTGACGAATAACAACACATTTATCTAAAGTTTCGGAACATACACATTTATCTAAAGTTTCGGAACATACACATTTATCTAAAGTTTCGGAACATACACATTTATCTAAAGTTTCGGAACATACACATTTCATCATTAGCAAATTTCTACTGTGAACATAAAAGAACCCTGTTGTTAACCAGATGCCTTCCCTTTAGTACATCACTCCAGAATGAGGGACTGCTATAGATAGCCCCTGTGAAGTTTGTTTGTTTTTTAATTTCGCGCAAAGCTACAGGGGCTATCTACGCTAGCTCGATGTGTTCTTGAACTTTCCTTCAAATCTTATAAAATATTCTTTAAATTGAAAAATAATAACTTTACCTTCTTTTTTTCACTCATTATGGCCTCTTTTATCTAATAAGACTAAAATTTTTAATTTTGTACTTTTAGGCATACCATGAGACTCTCCCTCGGTCCAGACTTTGTATTCTTTCTGTTTTTCATTCGATGCCAGCTGACTGTTTCTGGTATTCTAATCCTAGTATTTGGCCCAAAGGTAAGATATCACATAAATAAGCTTTTATGTATGCAGCTTGTAACAATTCATATAAAAACAATAACTATTATGATGTTAAATCATTAATTTAGTAGTTTCTTTCCCTCACTAACACGTTACTTTCAGTGAAGAAAAAAAATGACATAGAAGCCTAACAACTTAACTTGTTATATAATAAACCTATCAACAACTTCTAAATACCTTAATATTTACAGTCAAATGTTTACAATTTTGTCTACATTTTATATCAAACTAACAGATACTTTTGCTTTATATAGAGAGTTAATCACATCTTATAGAAATAATCTTGATATGTTAATGCCTTGGTATGTTGCTTCATATGAGAGCCATGATACCACAGATAACGTGATTGCACCTATATATTTGGTTAAAAGTGAATTTCTGATCATTCAAAACGCCAATATTATCACAGGTATGTTTACACGTCATAACCATCTAGAATGAATTATATATATAAATATATGTATAGTAACAGAGCTAATTGAAACCGCATTTTGAAGAAAGGAACGATCAATAAGCTCCATGGAAAATTTACTCAGCAGAACAGTTAAGAAAGCGACAGGCTACGAAACCCCACCAGAAGTCACTCATACTCACAGTAAAGGCTGTGGTTATGAAAGAGAACCCTCAGATCTAAGTTGTCAGTATTTGTTGATCGTGTGTGTTCTAATCTGTACTATGAGTTCAACAACAATTCAGTTGCTTTTCAACACATATTTACTTCTATAAAGGGACATTTTCTTTTATTTTAGTTTTACAATTTAATTTATAATTTTCTTTAACATTAATCAATAATTTTTACTATTAGTTCATCAACGCAATAATTCTTCATACTTGACAGATCAACCAATGTTCCATTGATCATTTTTTGATCATATCAAAATAAAGACTCTACTAGTTCAACTCCTTGTCTCTTTTATACCACTTGTTACACATCACTAACCTGTCCTTCCAAACACTTAACCTTTGAAATCCATGTGTTGATGAGAAGATCAAGTAAATCATATTGGTCAGCCAAAACTTGCTAAACTACAACGTATTTTCTAACCCATTATGTGAGAATTGAGGTTTGTTGCATTCACAGATCTTTATGCAGAGTTCGTAAAATATTTGTTCATTAAACAGAGTCTGAAAATGAGCCGATATTCTTACATTTACAACAATTAGAGACTACACTTAAGCTGTTTATTAAAGCCCTCATTCACACATATTTGTCGAACATTCCATTTATTTGCATGTGCAGTATATGCTGGTCGTATGGCCTGTCAGATAATTGTTTGAGTCTTATTAATACAGAGACATAGTCATACCATGGTTACATAGCAAGGAAATGGGCACAAGCACAGATCTACTTGACGTTTGATAGAGTGTTGTATTCTCAGATCTTTATGCAGAGTTCGTAAAATATTTGTTCATTAAACAGAGTCTGAAAATGAGCCGATATTCTTACATTTGCAACAATTAGAGACTACACTTAAGGTGTTTATTAAAGCCCTCATTCACATATATTTGTCGAACATTACATTTATTTGCATGTGCAGTATATGCTGGTCGTATGGCCTGTCAGATAATTGTTTAAGTCTTATAAATACAGAGACATAGTCATACCATGGTTACATAGCAAGGAAATGGGCACAAGCACAGATCTACTTGACGGTTGATAGAGTGTTGTATTCTCAGATAAACTGATTTCCCTACAAGGATATAATAGGCCCGCCAACAGCAGCAGGGTTGAAAAGGAAACTTGCTGTGTTATCTGAGTCTGAAAATTTGAATGTCTCTTAAGTTGTGTAAGAAATAAACAGACTAGACAAATTTGAAATTAAGCAAAATAATATTTATTAATTGCTCAACAAATGAAAGTAGAGTGCATACTTGCATAGCCAGTCATTGCCTCTGGTTTTCTACTATACTAGCGTGTAGAACAGCTGCAGTCAGAAAAGCCAAAAAGCACCCTTATGGATCTAAAACAAAGTCACACTCTGTAAAATAGAAAACCATATCACACTGCTTTAGAAAAGGAGGTTTCATTTTCATGAAAGTTCCATTTTCTGTCTCTCTCTCTCTCAATGGTGTGACCATGTAACTAATCTCTCTATCATAATAGTCCAGGCCTCCATTGGGAGGACCTCACTGCATTTCTGCAGGTAGAGGAGGGCAAAGAAAATTCGATCTGAAAGATGCACTTAGTGACAAGGACAGGAGGTCATGTCACGGACAAAATGTTTTTATGCCAAAAACAGTCGAGAAGCAAATTAAATGGAAATTTCAAAAATTTCAATATCACTAAAAATGGTGAAATACCTCATTATATATAGAAAATATGATATACTTGGGTATCACACTCTCCCTACCCCATCTCTTTTTCAAGCTTGATCTCAAGCCACCAATTAAAGCTAACTTTAAAGTTGTGACCTGGTCAAGAAGCATATTTACTTTCCATTGTCCCTTTGTACATGCCACATGGGCGACAAAATGATTTAACAAAGATATAAAATATACTACTATTATAACCTGTTATAATAAAACCCTATAACTTAAAGTTTAGAATTAATACAAACCATGGTAACAACAAAATCTTTGATCTTAATCAAAAGATACCTGAAAATAAGAAATACGTTAGCTTTCAATAATGCATAATACAAAACACAATAGTATCTAAGACGAAATATCCTTAAGCATTGATTAAATGCAAAACACATTTACTCGTTAATATAGAAATACGTGAAAATATATGTTATTACCCTTTAGGAAAGACTCATTAACAAAGAACATAATATAGAAGTATGCAGTTATAAGTAAAAAAACGTATAACTAAATAAAAATACAGGTAAACATTCGAGCAAGAAACGAAACACAGAGGTATAGTGCTCACTTTAAGAGTAAAACAAATAAGACACTTTAACAATGAATTATCTATCTAAGTCAATTTTAACAAAGATCACTAAACCTGTTTAGTAGGGGTAGTCTAACAAACTATGTAATAATAAGGAAAGTCGCACTCCAATAATATCATAAAAAGAAAGAAAAAGAAAGATTTTAATACAGATAATCTTCCCTCTTAGGAAGGAGCAGTTTAACATTTGGTGTTATGATGGCAAAGAGGTCTAACACTATTAGTGAACTAAAGTAACTAACATTTGGTGTTCTGATGGCAAAGAGGACTAACACTCTTGATCATTCTAACATTTGATGTTCTGATGGCAAAGAGGACTAACACTCTTGATCATCTAAAGTAACTAACATTTGGTGTTCTGATGGCAAAGAGGACTAAACACTCTTGATGAACTAAAGTAAAATGAATGTGAAAAATTAAAGAAGCTAGTTTCTCTTTATGGTGATTACGTTCCATATCACAGAAATAAAAAGGTATTATTCATAAGTTGCAATTGTACCTTTACACCTAGATAACACACATAGTAATAATGAAATAAAATAAATAACAAATAACCAAGATGAGGAAATAGAACTAATGACAACATAAAAACTAGCCACTTCTTGCGGTAGCACACTCTTATGTGTGAAAAACTTTCACAGTACATATACACCCCTAAATTGAGGAGAAAAAGAAATACACAATAGACATACATATACCCAACAAAATTTAATCCTCTGCTCTTTCACATACGTATAAATTTATATTTATATTACACTAATCATAGTCAATGAATGAATACAGATAATAAAAAACTCGAAATGTAACCCCTCCCAAAAACCATTAAGTCTCTATATTTTCAATGAGCATAAATTATATAATTAATTATACAAAATTTACAGCTCACCCAGACTCGGTTGAGTTTTTACTTCCCTAACGTTAACCCCACCAATAGATTTTCCAGGGCTGCTGTTATCTTTTGGATAGCCGCCACTGAGGTTTTAAGATCATTCTGGACTCCAGCAAGGGCATTCTCAGCTAGCTTGATCCGCAGGCACCTCACCTCCTCTTCATAACGAGGGCTACCCTCTGCTGCAAGCTCCTCAAGATTGTACAGAGGCCCAAGTCTTTGTACAATTGGTGACCATCTCGTGGCATTGGAATCTGTTCTAGTGTCGGGCAGTCTGTGATCATATTAGGAAGCCATCTTGGGAATCACACTCTTGCTGTTTTCTGCGTCTGCTACCTGAACATTCACATGAAGAAGGTATAAAAACCTCCTGCCAAGTTGAAGATATGGTGCCTGAGGCTAAAACGTGATCTTAACGCTGAAATTTCAGATTCAAGTGTAAAGTTGGATTAAATTTACTTGGTTGAAAGCTCAACCACGTGTGTAGGTTAAAGTGAGTCGTGACGTGCAGTTACACCTGCAAACTACTAACTAAATACTTGGTCAAATGACATGTCTACAGGCTCTACCAACCATACAAGGTGTACCCAAAGAACCTGAGGACTTCCCAATACCCAGGATTTGCTTAACCAACCACCTATGGCCGTGCTGTGCCCTATTGTTCTTGTTGGGCATCTAGAACATACTCCACCATCCATCTGGTGTCGTTCTTCTTCCTACTATCTGGTTGTTCCATAGAAGAGTACATGATTCCAGCAAGTAGAAATGATGGTCGAGACCGAATCCAGGTTTATACTTTCAAACTGACTCTATTCTTCAGGATTTCCTTCCATTGACAAGTCGAGAAGTAGTTTTGGCACAAATTACAGTTTCAATGCATTGGTATTACTTTTCACATCCCCTCTAACACACATACGGTCTCCAATTTCATGCTTTATTGATGCATCTTGTAACGAAATAACTTTAAGAAAGCACTCAGTAAAACTGTTTGCTTATTAAAAAATATTTTAATCTGCCTGACTGAAATATTTCTCGCAGAAAAAGTAAAACACTCAGTTAGGATGAGAATGTCCCTCACACCTAGATATTATCTCATGGTTTCACTAAGGATACTTCAATGAATTCATGAACTAATATATCTCTCTTATTTGTAGATTTCATTACCGGGTAGTCCTTCCCGTGAAATCAGCACAG